CTCTCTCTCTCTCTCGCGCTCTCTCTCTCTCTCCCCCCCCCCCTCTCTCTTTTTTTTATATATATATACACACACACACACACATACACACTCTCTCTCTCACACATACACACACACACATATTTATATTTTTTCACACCTCTCTATATATATATATATATATATAAAAAAAAAAAATATATATATTTTATATCTCTCACACCCCCCCTCAAACATATATATATATATCTCTCACACACACACACACATATCTATATATATATATATATATATATATATATATATATATATATATATATATATATATATATATATATATATATATATATGTACATATATATACATATATATTTAGTTAAAGTATTCTGTTTGAGTTTGTCCCCCATATCTAATTAGGTTTGATTTAAGGGGTGTCTAACATATTACCCCTTTATATTTTGTTTTATGATATTTATATCTAGTTTTATCATGAAATGTTAAAAAATTAATGAAAATATGTGTATATTTTCAACATAGGTATTGTATAACTATTTAAGTGTTTATTAATACTTAAAAATTAAAATAATCCCAATTGAACCGGTCGAACCGTGACCCAGTTGCCCTTCCGCTTCGATGTCCGGTCCGGTTTTTTGCAAAACATTGGATTTTATTTATTTCATCACTGACTCAAATAAATTTATTAAAAAAATTTATCATAAATATGTGAAAGAATTAGATATGATTATTTTTAAAATTAAAATTATTATTACAGTTGTGGTCCCTATATTATTCACATTTTTCTATTTTAGCCCTTCTACTTTTCTTTTACGAAATTGATTAATCGATTTTTTTTTCTCTTCCAGTCCACTGTTTGAATTTTTAGTTAGTTTTTACGTAAAAGAACATATATGGAGCAGATGACCATGCTATTTCAACCCATTTCTTAAATATATTTATAATTTTGCACCCATTTCAATTTATTCCTACAAATTCGCACAATAAAACGAAAAATGTTAATTGCAATTGGTACCCTGCTGTAGAAAATCTCCATATGCTAAAATAATTTGCAAAAGGAACCCGTGGGTCTCTCTCTTTCATATTATTTGTTCGTCTTGTTCTATCGAATGTTTTTTAAACATATCTTATCACCATGTTCATCCTAAACACACAGTAACAGTTACAGGAGAATTCAAAATACAATGTGCAAAGTTTTGTATCAGGATTAAAATTGAAATAAAATTTAGGTTTCGTTTCTCTCCAACTTCAGAGCTCAGCGATTTCATAAATTTCGTTTATAGGTAAAATTACGCACGCACACTGAGTGTGAGTTGTGTCTTTCACAATTTCCACCTTCAGAAGCATAAAAGTTTTTGGGCCAAAGAATCATCGCTTGGGTAATTGGTAGAATTGATATAAATAAAGGGAAAAATACAATTTTTGGCCCTCAAGTTTGCACCAATTCGACATTTGGTCACTCATGTTAACAAAAAAACAAATTTCGTCTCTTATGTTGCAAGAGTTCAATACTTTCAGTCATTTCCGTCAGTTTCTCGTTAAAACTAACATAATCAATCGTGTGCCCGTCACTACCTTAAGTAATAGAGTAACGGTAAATTATCGGAAAGGACCAAAAATGTTAAATTATTGGAACATGAGGGACGAAATATGTTATTTGTGAATTTGGGTGACCAAATGTGAAATCATTGCAAATTTAGGGATGAAAACAATAATTTCCCCTATAAATAAATATCTCTTGACAACGAACATTTTGAAGATAACAAAGAATAACCTCCATTGATTGTTCAGTGAGAAAGTTGGAGATTAATATTATCATTTATTTGTAACTAACATTTCTTCTCGATATGAAATTTCTAAATAAAAGTTGAATACATCGAGGAGTGTGTAAATGGATAGACCTCTCCATGAAACCCATGAAAGCTATAGCAAAAAATGTAATATTTAAACTTGGATATTATATGATATGAAACTGATTTAGTGGCAATTTATTATTGTGCTGTTTAACATTAAGATCAACATTATTACATATTACCTTATATACAGTTGGGTGGTTTGAGATTGAAGCATCAGGGACATACTTCATCATATCAACTTCATCAGTCATTCCTAATGCAGCCTGCCATGAATTGAATATTAATAATGTTAGTTGTTAAATAAACACAAGTGACATTACTTTTATTTTTTGGGTCCAAATAGAGGTCTGATTTAAACGACCCACTATCGTCCATACCTGCTGCCAAAACTTGTTTGTAAACGACATTTTTGGTTGCCGTTTCTTCTTGCATTCCTGAAGTGCTTGGTTTTATCAACACTTTTGTGGTAGACATTGAAGTTCCTCTTGATAACGCAACATAGAGTTGGCCATGTGAGAAAACTGATTGTGGCAAATATACTCCTACATTTGGAATTGTTTGTCCTTGTGCTTTATTGATTGTCATGGCAAAACAAAGTCTAATTGGGAACTGTTTTCTCTTGAACTTAAATGGATAACCTTCATTTTCAGCCGGCGAAAGTGGTATTCTAGGTATAAAAACATGTTTTCCGCTATGTTGCCCAAAGACTATCTCAGCATCGATGACGTTATCCTTAAAATTCTTGCAAACCATCCTTGTACCGTTGCATAAGCCGTTTGATGGGTCTAGATTCCGTAGAAGAATTATTGGACAATTTTTTTTTAGCAACAACTTATGAGGAGGAAGACCATTTGGGGTTAAAGAGTTCAGAAATTCCTCGTCGTAGAAGTTGTTTGTATCGTCAATAGCTTCATCATAACTATGATACTCTCTCGATTCACCCGGAAATATAGATATTAATTTCTCATTCAATTTGTCTACATGTTCATTTCTTGTCGCAAGTATAGCACGGCCTGTCATGTAACCAGCTGAATGAGAATTTTCGCCGAGAGATGGGAAAATAGCCATAATAAGTCTGTGTATCGAGTCTTCATCATTATCATAATGAATAATCATCTCTTCTGGAATTTTGACATTGCCTTCAGTATCAGTTGGTTCTTCACCATTTCCAATTCTAAGTAAGAGCTCGCTAAATTTTGAATCGGTTTTGGCTCTCATATTAGTCTTTGAACTATTTTTTTCCATTTCACCCCATAGAGGTGATTTAACCAAGCTCGCACAAATTGTTTGGTGGGCCGTTCCTCTAGGAACAACCGGCAATACTTGTCGAAAATCTCCACCAAATACAACAACTTTTCCACCAAAATATTTATCATTTCCCATTATATCTTGAAGGCATTTATCAACATTCTCGATAGCCCATCTTTTAGCCATTGGAGCTTCATCCCATATTATCAATTGTGCTTTGCGTAATAGCTCAGCAGCTCCACTTTGTTTAGATATAGAGCAACTACTCGAGGCATTTGCATCTAATGGTATTTTGAAACGTGAATGAGCTGTTCTTCCGCCTGGCATTATTGCAGCAGCAACTCCAGATGTTGCAGTTGCGATTGCTATACGTTTCTTGGATCTAATATGAGCTAACAATGCACGGTATAGAAATGTTTTCCCCGTTCCACCTGGTCCATCAATAAAGAAAATGCCACTTTTTCCTCTTTCTACAAAATGTAATATTCTTGAAAAAGCCTTATGTTGCTCAGGATTCAACTTATTTTCTGCCTCATAATCTTCTTCAGGTATTGATATTGAAATTTCATCTTTGATCTCTCGCGGCAAATCATCTTGGACATTGTTGAACTCTACTGGAATCTTGGGAAGATCGTATGATTTGATGGTTTTCCCCATGCTCTCCAAGAAATAATTCAGGCTTTTCAAAGTTTTGACAAGTTGAAGCATATATGTGGTTCCTGGCTCTCTTTTAAAATCCTCTGACATTGGATCAAAGTAAGTATCCCATAGATTCTTCACATCAGTCGGTGCACAATAAACCAGGATGATAGCAAATAATCTTCTTAGCTCGTGTGGCATTTGAAAAGAAATGGCTTCGTTTAAACATTCCGTTAGACTTTGATCCGACTCCAATAAGCCCCTTCTTTGTGCAGCCTCTTTAAAGCTTGAGTATTTTTTATGATTCACAGTTAGTAAGTCTTCAAATGATGTTGGCCCTCTAACATGATTCAAGAGTAACCTCAGGTAAAATCTTTCTCCTTCAATAGGATTTGCACCATTTACCCGCCCTATCACGTTTCTTTTCTTTCTCTCATTCCAGCATTTGAATTTATTGTCCCATACATAGTGCTCTGGAAATTCCGGGTAAAGATATTTTTTTGCATCTTCACTTTTTGCGCACATAGAGAAATATTCTGTTAGCATTGTCTTAGATGTGTGATCCCATCTCAAAACATTCTCTAAATTTTCATTTCCCCAATAAGTTACAGATTGTTGATTTGGTAAATGAAGGGCCAAATTAATAACTGAAGGGTACATCTCATTTAAATTGAACTCGAAAATTCTCCACATTGCTTCTTGAGCAGAAACCCACCGAGCATCTTGAAACTGTTTAATCTCATCAATGATCATCTCTTGATCCTTTTGTGATATTTGAAATGCCACCCTGTCATGTCCTTTATAAATGTACTTGTAAAGATATTTCACCGCTGTAACTCCAGAACAAATCTCGACATTTATATGACAATTGTATCTCGATAAGAGATATGGATTATAAGGAACCACCCATTGGTTATCTAGCTTCGCCTTACGAACTTCAGCACTGTGCTTTCACAATATGATCGTGGATAGATTGGATATCCATCTTTACCTTGCACTGTGCTTTCACAATATGATCGTGGATAGTGATACTTACATTTTCCCTCGATCATACACGAGTTTTTGAAGTTCAATTCTCCACATGGCCCGTGCATCATGTGTTTAAGCACTAAGTCATAGAGTCCAGGATATTTTTCTTTATCTGGAAGCTCAGCACAAACAAATCTGTCGAATTGTTCTGGAGTTGTAATTTTGTATTCAGACTTCAAAATTATCAACATATGAGCATGCGGCAATCCCCTTTTCTGGAACTCAATTACATGAACATGGGCAGCGACTTTTCCAAATATTTCTTTTTTGAATAGTTGATCTTTCAAATCTTGGAGCTTTGCTCGAAAGACTTGGGATGTTAAATCTGGACGATCTTGAGCCTGTTGACCAGCATATAAATTTTCTTGTATCTCTTTCCACTCTGGATTACAAGTCATTGTAATAAAAAGATCCGGTTTTCCGAATCTTTGAACTAATGCCAACGCGTCTAGATATATGCGCCGCATATCTCTTGGACCCCCAATAAAAGATGCAGGAAGAACAATTCTTTTTCCAACTTCACCTCCCCTTTTTTCTCCTCTTGATACACTATCAATGAGTCCTTGGTATAGCTCGGCTCTTAAATTAGTTTGGTTCCGTCGAAAGTAATCCAACCGTGTTGTCTCTAATTTTATATACATATCAACTGTATACTGTTGCAACAATCTTCCAGCCAAAAGTAGGATAGACTGCCTCGCATTTCTGATCTGAAGTCGATAGCAACTATATTCTCGACAAGAAACTTTTTGATTGTTTTCACCGTTGATGACTGCACATTATATACAATACCAATATAATCTTATTACTTTAGAGTTTATTGTGAAGATAGATGATATTTAATCTTTTATTAAGTACACACCTTCCTGTTCTTGTGAAAGAACATCTTCAACAGAACTGAATCTCTGTTGCTAAGTTGTAGAAGGATTATTGATCCCTAAAGTTTAATAAACATATTATATAGTCATGTATGTATTAACAAAGATATTCTAGAAATGAACACACTGTTTATGCTAATTGCATAAAATTTAGTTCTTAAAGTAAATGCATGTGTAAATGTATTTTCTAATGGAATTCCTATAGAATGTCTGTACTCCACTATTTAAAAATATTTCATTTGGGTCCATAACATATTTCTACAAATTACTTTTAGAAGTAGTAGAAAGAAATTTGTCTATAATGTAACGAAAAATGGACGATGTAGAAAATTTAATTTAAATAATAAAGTTTTCATTCTA